TACAGTAATTTGATCTTCTACAAAACGCTGTTGGTAACTGAATCTCTCAGTGTCTAACTTTCTAGAAAATTAAACCAATGTTTCCACTCTCAAAATCGAAAGACTGCTGCTTTAGGAAACAGCCCTGTTTATTTGTTAATCAGAAATACAATCAAGTGGCATATTTCCATTTGCTCTTTGGCTGACAGTTTCAGCTTCACTATATTTTACAAGAAAACAGCAGACTTGCAGAGGTCCTGTAAATTCTTTCATATCGCAACTGATTTAATTACAGCAGTGAAGAAAAGCAGCGGTGATGCAAAATAAGATCAGCCCAATTGCCCTTATCTGATGATAGGATCTGTCTTCCTGTTTGGCTCGCAGCAGTGAGGACTTCTTGTTTTGTTTCGGGTTTTTTGTTGGTTTTTTCTTCTGGTCAGGCTGCTGCCTCTGTCAGGACCGACAGAAGCAAGAAGTTGACATGCCCTTGTAATTCCAGCTTGAGAATGATCCTCATACCAGTACAGCTGAGTTTCAATCAGTGGGTCGGGGAATGATACTAATGTGGAGAAAATTATCTGGATAGCTCATATGTTCGCTTAGCCACTGTATGGGTGTTTCCAGCATTGGCTCAATTCCATGAATCATCACTTGAGTCTTCTGCTCTCCATCTAATTCAAAGAAAAAGAGACACCACTAATATACCATTAGAAGTTCACAGAAAGATTAAACATTTACTCATACTTAATTTACGGGAGGTTTAAATTGGTGTTACAGAGTTGAACACTTAACGGAACAAAAAAAGCAGGAAATATTTGTATGGAGAAAGCTGAGATTTCTATCATAGAAACCAGAAACTTTGAGTTAAAATTGATTAAAAATTAGGTTTAAAATTAAACTTTACAAAAGTGCAATTTCTTTACTAGTTGCAAAGGTTTGTTTGGCTTGGTTTTTTTTCGTTTTTTTTTTTCCTACAGTGAACAAAGTTTGGTGTCCACACAATTAAGGCATATCCATCTTACCCTGCTATAAGCCATATATGAATTTCACACAGATCACGCTTAAGATGTTGAGCTTCCTAAAACATACTATAAAGTTGTATTCATAATACTGTGATCTCCTGAAAGAGCTGGTTGATGTGTAATGTGTAGTACATTTAATACATACAATATTCCTGAAGTAATTTTGTTTTGCTAAAAATAATTTACAGAAGTCTCTAGCAATATTTCAGAGTTACTCAGAAGGCTGAGTTGGCATAAGCTTTTTCTCACTTAATTTCATCTCTTGGAAAAGCTAAGTTAGCAAATGATTCCCAGTATGACAAGAATATTTTCTAAGAATATTTAATTTCTTTTTATTTTTACTCGTCCCAAAGGATGCAAGTACTTTGATCCTTTGATTCAATGATGGGAACCAGCTAAAGCAGCTGACATAACTGTCATGAAATGACCTAAAAAAAACCCCAACAAACACCACAACCAAAAAATGAAAATTTATTTCAGAGCCTTGAGATGAGAAGAGCATCTGAAATATGCTCCAAATAATGATTAGGGGGAAAAAAAGTAGGCAGCGACCTCTTACTGTTTTTATACCATATGATGGCATTCTTAGATGGACCTACCACAGTGAAATCCACATTCAGTACTTAGAAATATCACTGCCTTCTCTAACTGGCATACCCCCTCCCCAGCTGCCAGTCTTACAGAACAAACCACTGTGCTGCCCAAAAGCCGCATGGAAGAGAGCAGAATCTGGAAGTGAAGGCACCATTCCTGGCTCTTTCATTCAGCTCTCCCAGTTGTAGCATAATTCCTATTATGTAACAGATAAAATCTTATTTGTTTGGTAACTAAAAGGATTTGACAGCTGCCTGATGAAGTTTGTATTATAAGTGGGTATCTATGCCAGCACAGGCTAAATCAGACTAGGAAAAATAATCCTTGAATACACTGTTGACTATATGCTAGTAATAAGTCTTCCTGCAGGAGACTTATGTTTGCCTAAAATAAAGCATTATACATTAGTTACATGTTACCTACATATTGTATCATATTCTGTATGAATGCTTCGTTAAATATACAAAGCTGGATTCTCTAAATGGCATAGTATACACATTATCACAATAAATTAAGCATGAACAATTGCTGCTTTCTGCTTTTATTGCAGACAGGTCAGAAGAACACAGCACATAATTTAAAAATAAACTTCTGCTATTTCCAACCAAAGCAGGTACTTATTAGGCTGAAACATTACCAGTCAGATTGTCAAGAGTATAAACTCCAGAAGAAAAGATCTCAGAAACCAAGTTTTTACACAGAGATGTTAGGGAACATCTAAAATATTTTTAATATTAAAGTAACTTCTATTATATGTATTTAACACTTTCAAATTAAAATCTATCTATGGTATTCCAAATATTGGCCACAGAGCTGTTGACATTTCTGTACATTTCATGATGTTATTTAATTCTCAGAAACAACTAATCTGCACACCCAGACAGATGGCAGAGTGCTGTTTCAGCATCAATACTGTGCTAGACACCTATCCATAGCTGACTCTTCTTCGCAAAAACTTGCAACAAAAAAAATAGATTAAAAGCTTTGGAACTTCAGTATCATTTTCTTATCACTGGAGGAAAGGTTTATAAATGATAAGCACTTCCTTTGGCTCTTCTGTTACGGTGTGACAGGACACTCTTGGATGCACGTGTATGTACGTAACTAATTCGATGCCTCTTGCTTAAAAATGAAACGTGGTTAATCCGGCTGTCCCCATTCCCTGCTCCCTACTCAACTTTGTCCCTTTCTCATACAAGTCTTTTATTCTGATCCTCAGCAAACTGAGAAAGTCTCAGAGGTCAATGAAGAATTTACAGTTTAATTAAAGTCTAAATCTCCGCATTAGCATTGTTTGTGCTTTAGTGTTATCTCTGACAAAGCATCACTTCTCCTTAATTCCTTTTCCCCTTGAGGCTTGAATACAGAGATCTTATCTACCAATTCTGTATTTACTGTAGCCTTCTTTCACAAAATCCATGGTTTTTACTTCTGCATTCTTCCCTCCTTTTGTTACCAGAGACCATAAACTCTCACTGAAGTTATATTTACCCAAACTTTCCTCAACTTTCATGTTTTCAGTAACTTCTCCATTTTAAATCCCAGAGTCTCTCTCCTGTAGATGGCTCCCCCGCTTTATGCTGGAAAAAGTTGTCAACAGCAAATACACTAAAAAAATTACTGGAAAATATTCTTGTTTTTTCAACAGCTGTCTTATGTGTTCCACCATTATCACTGTGATCTGGTTCTGGATGATTTGCTAACTCTCGTAAAAGCTTTGTCCATCTGGTTTACAGATACAATAGATTTACACAGTATTCTTCCTTCTCTTACTGGTCATAGTCTTAAGAGATGTCGCTTATTTTGTCTGCATCTTGACACACCAAGTGCTGTCCTCTTCTTCCCCACCCCATTTTGTTATCCTATGATAAAAAGTCTTTTTAGACTGACAAAACGCCTCTATAAAAGTTACTAAACACAACATATATTTAAATGAGTGGTGTAAGATTTAAATGACTTAATTACACAGATTAATGTCATTCTATGTCACTGAACCAGGCCTATAAATCTTAGGGCAAGTAACTCTGCTCACCTGTAGCGCATGGGATCCAGACCTGATATCATTACTGTCAATACCCATTTTACTATATTCAGTAATGTAGCAAAAAATACCCCAGGATTTCCTCAAAATCAAGCTCAAATTTTCCAGCCACCTCACTTCGTTTTTCCCTTTTAAAATCATGATAGAGCTGAGTTACATGCTAGCTATCATATGACCTAAAGATAGTTTCTTTAACCTTGTTGCAAATTAACCTCAGGAAGAAGATGAATTGGAAATATCAGATAAATAAAAGCATATCAATACATGTTTTGTAGGAAGTTTTTATTATATGTGTACATAGTAACTATATACTTAAAATCAGAGTATTTTTATATTACTGAAGTGATGCACAGATAATAAATAGTGTTTTGGCATTTTAAAAAAGCACCTCAAAACCAATTAAGTCATCTTCTATCAGAGTGGTTTTCCCAGGATTAAATTATTTTTCTTTGCTTTCCATCAATGCAGAAGGCACTATATTCCCCAAAAGTCACTAGTGGCAAGTGATAAGCACAGATTATAAAGCTTTTTGGTAAAATTTAACAATATTCCGTCTCCAGAAGGCTGATAACTATGCTGACATGTTGTATACTAAGATATTTTTGAGACATTTTACATCACTTAATTAAGACACTAACTCAAAGGCTGCAACACTTAAAGTACCTGACCTAGGCTAATAAATCACACCATGTAAAGGCAGAGGCGTTTTCCAAATCTGCACAGAAAATTGAGAGAAACAGGCAGCTCTGTAGTGAAGGGCTTAAGAAGAGGTCTGCTTCTCTATCATCTATAAAGTGCCCAGGAAACCACCTTGATCTGGCCAAAGAAAGTTTGGGCAAAGGAGTTTCTTTCGCAGACAGGCATCTGCTGAAAGGAAGTGAGAGGCAGTGGCTGTTGTATCTCGGAGTCTTTGAGGCAGTGGCTCAAAGCCCTCCTCAACCTGAGGCAGCTTGGGTCCACTCTCCCTTCTGTAAAGGGAATGTCCTAACTACTACGATATTTGCTGTTGCTAATCTCAAGCTTCCTCTAAAAGCCCTCAATGTTCAATAATCAGTGAGAGATAGAGAAAGAACATAGAATAGAATATCTGTAGTCTTCAAAGAAGATAGGAAGATGTGCAATGTCATGATAGCACATGGTAAGTTTTTCTATTTCCTTTAGCTATGTAAGTTATTGCTTGCAAAGTAAACCACACAAAATTAGGAAAAGAACTTAATTAGCTCATTCAGCATTCAGTACAATACAATTCAGATTGTTACACATATCCCTAATGCAATCTAAATACATTTTCCTATTGAATTATCTTTTTTTTTTTTTTAATTTAGAAGGGAAGAATTAAAGATGGAGGGGAAAAGAAAAGATTGTTCTGGAGACAGATTCAAATGTCTAAGAGCAGACTAATGAGAAGGCACTACTTCTGGCAAAAGCACACATTTCAGCCACTTTTCACTCAGGTTAGCACCACAATGCTCACCAAAGTTGCGGCTACACACTCCCTCTCACCTACACAAGATTAGCTTCTCTAGCCAGACTGCATCTGTGATGCACCACTTAAAATTCTTTAGTGGGATGAAACAGCCCCCTTCTGAATTGTGGCCTCTAGCAATCACCTGTCAGGGCAATTTAGCTGGCTTAAATTCTTTCACTAATAGACAATACAAGATATTCAGGATTTAGCAAAAATGTCCCTGGAGTACTTCAATTAGAATCCTCCGTATGCAAATCTTCTGCAGCAAGTCCCAGAACCTGTCTGTAGTCATCAAAATGGACAATGTGGGAACCACAGCTTCCTACTCAGGGCAGCACTGCTTACAAAATTGGCTTTAAAACCCTAAAAAGGGAAATAGAACTTTGTGCTCCAAAATAGGACCAAATAATGCATTTCTTGCACGATACAAGGCCACAGGACTATAATGGAGAAGGATACTAAAAAGAGTAAATATAACCAAGGAAAGCATCATGCAGTAGCAGCCGTATGAATAATGTAATAGAACTGGTTTCCAGCTTCTTCACC